AAATTTTAAAACACTTAAAACGAAAATTTTTAATTTAAAAAATTTAATCAAACGTAAAAAAAAAAAAAAAAAATAGGCTCGGCTAACGCGGCTCAACCAACTCGTCTAGGCTTCGGTGTCCAATCGGCTTTTGAATAGTGAAAAGAAAACTCACTCTTTTATTTATGTAAGATAAGAAAAGACATAGGGAAGATAATAGAAAACTAAGATGTAGATTTTCAATTTGTTCTCTTGTTCTTTTTTATCTTTTTCTTGAATATCTTGATGTTTTTCCTTCTTGCTTTCTTGAAGAATTGTGTTGAATTTTCTCTTACCTCTTGAACCGTCTCCTCTCCAGAATTAGGTTTTAAAGATTGTACTTATAGTATTTTGAAGTTTTGGAATGGTTGGAGTCATGTTGGGCTAAGAAAAGAGCCCAAAAAATTCAAAAACCCTTTTTCTCACCCAACGGCACCTCAATGCCCATGATGCTGCTGATTTTCAAAAACGGTGACGCTGCAGCGCCAATATTACGTCGCCTAGCGCCCGGTTTCGAATGAAAATTCAACACCGCACGTCATTCAGTATATTTATCATAACATTTCTCTCGATATCCGATTGAAGCGATTTAAAATGATTTGGAAAGATAACTTTAAGAGATACAACTTTGCTTCAGATATCATTTTTCAATTAAAATGTTTTCTATATCAAAAATGAGTTTCAATATGAGACTGAAAATTCGAAACTTAACTTTTTCAGGTTGAAAATTCATGCGTGATCATATTTTCCCTATATTTCATCCCTTTGACTTCTTTCTTTATCCAATTGACTCCTAATACTCTTGAATCTTCATTGTGAGATTCGACACAACTTTTGATTATTTGCACTTTAGTTCTCAAACTTTGGATTTCTTACAATTTAGCATGTTTCTTTAGTTTGCCAACTTTTGTTTATTTCCTTCAATTTCATCAACCTATATCACAACATTAAAACACACATTAAAATTTCCTAAAATCTCTAAAGGATAACAAAATAATGAATTAAGTGGCATAAATATCATGAGTGTAGACACTCATCAATTTTCGTGCTCGTAAAAGGGAAAAAAATATATGTCCATTTTTTTTCAAACGATTCAGATGTGTCACATTATTCTTACAACGATAATGAATAGCATAATATCACACAAAACAAGTGTTCAAACGTACAAAATTGGGAAAAAGTGGTTGCAATTAATACAATCTTGTGCCAAATTATGAATGGGAGTTGAAAAGTCGATTATAAGGACAAAAACTAAATTATTCCAGCATGTTGCAAAATTCCAAACGGCATATAATGCAAGGAAAATGCTAACTTGGCCGTAAATCTTTTACCAATGCTGTCAGGAAAAATCAATTTTGTTTTGCCTAATCTTTTCCATGTATCATCATATTGAATCGTCTCATCTAAAAATTTAAGACATTGGACAAAACACACGCTTGTTAATTTTAGATATTGTTGAAAACTATATTCGGCCCCACTTCAATTTAGCTAAAAATCATACTTTCTAGTAAATTTTGATAAACTTGATCTTATAAAATGTATTATTAAAATTAATTATTGATTTTGATTTCTATTAACTTTTTTAGTTAAATCAAAAAAGAACTTTGCAAATGAATTTTAAGAAATGGAGATCTAAGATGGACTAAATGTTCAATAAAAATCAAGTACATAACCTATACCCCATAAGACATGAGAATTGATTTTTTTGTTTTTTTGTCCTTTTAACTAAGCATTCCAATATTCGTGCCTATTTCTCGTTCCAACTCGTGTTGAATTAAAAATGGAAAACAATAGCTAGAATTCAACTTTTTTGTAGTCTCGTGATAGAGAGATTTGTGAATGAATATTTGCGCACAATTCATCTGGCATTCGAAAACCACAAAAAACAGTTTGAAGCAGAACCACTCCCCTCTAAATCTCCTTTATCCAAAACTACAAAACATTCCAATAAAATTAAATTTATCCACAGCTCCAGTGGCTGTGAATTTTCTTCAGTTTTTTGACTTTCTGCATTGCCCACATAATATTATAATATCACATATATTTCGGTGGAATCTTGATATAGAAAATCGCTGACCGAACATAATAAAGAGTGCTTTAATTCAAAGAGAGTCCACTCCTTAGCAGAGGCTGCTTAGGTCCGGATAATTATAACTGTATTTCAAAGGTAAATATTCTCAAGAAAATTACATGTTCTGAAAAATTGTTTTGGGAACTTAGACAGTGATGCATAAAGGGATTGCTGATTTCTTTGGTTAGATGGGTTATGATTCTGTTTATTTTTATTGGGTTTTGTTTAGAATGAAAGAATTTAATGTCAAAACTGGGTTTTTCCTTGTTTTCAATTATCGGGGGCTTTATTTAATCCATTCTCGGTAATTTTCAATTATTCATGGAATTAGCTCAACTATATGAAGTTTCTTGGTTTTTTAAGTGTCATTGATGGGCTTCCGGTGCAACGTTGCTTTGGTGCATGTGTCCCCTCCACCCCTAGTATTGTCTTCTAATGTTTACATTTGAAATGTTGATCAACCATTTACTTTTCTTCGAATTTTTCTGTTGTTAGAGTAATCACTGAATGATCTCTCGATCTTGAACTATGGATACTGATTTCTTTAAAATATTGTGCTATCAGTTAATCTTGGAGTTCAAGGGGAAATTTTTTCAGATTTTGTTCCTTTTCGTTATCCAGGCTTTCACTAAATTCCCAGTTAACAGCTTAAAGTTTCTTTGGGTTATTCTCAGGTGGGGGACGAGTTAATTGATTGTGTCCCTTCATCTTGCTAGTGACTTGAGGAGTTGTTCGCATCACATCCAGATTTAATACGAAATATATACTTCAACATGTCGAAGCCACTGGATTATGAGAATTTGAATGAAAATGTTAAGAAATGTCAGTATGCTGTTCGAGGTGAGCTGTATCTTCGGGCCTCTGAGCTTCAGAAGGAGGGCAAGAAGGTATGTTTTGATAAGCAGTCATATCTCCCTAGTACAGGGACGAGGTTTCTGAGGTCTTACTTTTAACTTGCGAACATTTAGAATGGAATGCTTGTATCTAGTAAAAAATTTCGTGGAACATTCTGTTTCATACTGGCTATCTTGGTTTAGTTTCTCTCTGTGAGAGTGACTTAAATTTACAAGTTATACCCCCGTGGCACAGTGCCATTGACTGTTTACTCTTTGCCATGTGATCATCAATGATTCTCCTGCAGATCATATTCACAAATGTTGGCAACCCTCATGCCCTCGGGCAGAAGCCTCTGACTTTTCCTCGCCAGGTTTATTGTATAAATATTTATTTATTTCGAATGTATTTTTCTTTATATCATTTTTGATGGTGCAGTTTGTATTCACTGTAAGAAAAATGATGTTGCAGGTGATTGCGCTCTGCCAAGCTCCGTTTCTGCTAGATGATCCTAATGTGGGACTTGTATTTCCTTCCGATACTATAGCAAGAGCTAAACATTATCTTTCACTGACATCAGGGGGTCTAGGTATCGTAATTCACAATATTCTCATTCTGTTCTTTGAGAAAATATAGAACACTTTAAGTAGTACTATGAGAAATGAAGGGATTTTTCATGAGTCCATTTTTCATTAATTTCTTTGCCACAAAGATGAAAGATCTTGTTATTTATTTCCATCTCTCATTCTTTCCATTCCTTCCAACCCAGACTCCAGGCAAAAGCAAGAAATACTAACTTGTTTTGGTGGCTGGTTTTCCATTTTCTCGTCCGATATCTTGACTTTACCTTGTTCACTGTTTAAACAAATACAAAAATTACATTTCAGAGAAAGTGCAGTTGCTAGACACTGCCACAATATGATTCTCTCTCTCCCCATGAGAATTACTTCTATTCGGTAAACCAGACTTTTATTCTGTAGTACACGGACTCTTTTAAGTGTGTTACGTTACTAGCTCAAATACTTTAAACTTGTCAGTGGTTACGTTCTGCAACTACTTAGGAACCTCATCTGAAGATGTCCATTTTATTTATCACTACTTTACATGCTTTGAACTTTTCATTTTGATCAATCTATGCTGGGTTAGACAATGTATCAAAGTTTGTATGATAAAATTTGTTGGAGTTTTACATTTGCTGTCAGCCTACCACAAGCCTCCTCCTTTAACTGGGCTTAGAATAGGCTATAAAAAAACATAGGTGGAGTTTCGTCAGCAGAGGCGGATGTAGGGAGGGCAGCCCTGGGCTATAGCCCAACCTGTCCCCAGCCCATATGCAATGGAATGTAAACAATAAAAGCTAATTCAGCCCAGCTGCAAGGTGGAATGTAAAAGAAAAATAGTTCAGCCCATCGATTGTCCAATTACCCAAACTTGTTAAAGACTTCAAAATTTACATATTTATTTCATGCATATTCATGCTGCACAAATTTGTTACCAATTTAGGTATTTTAGTTCATGTATGTTTGACTAAGTTTAAAGAGTTCACTTATAATTAAATAAATAAACTTTATAATAATATTTTTATTGATTGAAGTAAAAAAATAAATAATTTATTTAGCATTAAGAGAAACTACTATTTGAATAAGCTTAAAATTAATTAAATTTTTATATCTATATGAGTTTTCATATATTGTTTATTCACACTTACAAGTTAAAAATTTACTTATTTGACCATGAAATAGATGTTATTACTAAAATAAGTAACTTGCTCTATTTTATTTAGTTAATAAAGGAAATATTTGTTAAAAACATATTTATTTATAAATTATTTACTTATAAGTATATTATTAGTGAGCCAAACATGGACATTTATAAATTAAATTTCAGCCCACCCCAACGTCTTTTCCTAGTTCCGCCCCTGTTCGTTAGACACTGTGTTTATTATATAGAAAAGGGAAAAAGTTATCGGTACTTCGTTGTATCTGTATCCATTCTTCATAACTTCAACTCATTATATATTCTAGGCCTTTGTAGATGTTTAATCTTGGATATATATTTTCAACTACACATCATAGTACTTCTGTCAAAATTTCATTCATCCTGATTAATTTTGGTTCTCAGCATTTCATTGCATCAGACAGCCAAATTAACTGTTGACTATGAACTTTACTCAATTTTCTGTTAGAGAAGCATCAATATGGAGCAAAGACTGATCATCATGTGCTTTATACTTAATCAGGTGCCTACAGTGACTCACGTGGCGTTCCTGGAATAAGGAAAGAAGTGGCAGAGTTCATTGAGAGACGTGATGGATATCCAAGGTGACGATGATTAATTTGTAACTTTCATGTTTTGTACAAAAGTATTAGATCTTAATAAATAGTAAAATAGTATGAGATGTTAACATGTTTTATGATATTATACTAATTCTCGAACTGATTTCAGTGATCCAGAACTCATATTTCTAACAGATGGTGCCAGCAAAGGAGTGATGCAAATCTTAAATGCTACTATTCGTGGTGATCGTGATGGGGTAATAATCCTTTAGCCTCTTCAATCCTTGCTGTTCCTTTGCCTCATTTTGGGATGATGCTTTCCCATAATATTAATAATACTGTTCTTATTTGTTTCCAGATACTGGTCCCTGTTCCACAATATCCCCTTTATTCAGCTACAATATCGTTATTAGGTGGCTCTCTTATTCCCTATTACCTTGAAGAAACTGCCAATTGGGGTCTTGATATTGTTAACCTTCGCCAGTCAGTTGCCCAGGCTCGTTCTCAAGGAATAACTGTAAGTATTTCTTTTACATATATTCTACAAGCATGCTTCGGTGTGCTTAAAACTTACTTTTCCAGAAAATAAGTTAAAAGTAAAAGTTAATGAAGGCGGCTTGTTGTGATGGCACAATTAGCTGTTTCCATGTTGCATCTTGTCCAATAACAAAGAATTATCTAATTTAAGGAAACTTGTGTTGTTCTTGATACGTGCTTATTAGTTACATTTTGTATATGCTCCTTAAAGTTTCTCCGGATTATTTATTTTTTATGTGTTTGTGATAAGGTACGGGCAATGGTGATTATAAACCCTGGGAACCCTACTGGACAGTGTCTTAGTATAGCAAATCTGAAAGAAGTATTACAATTCTGTTATCAGAATAATTTGGTATTGCTTGGAGATGAAGTTTATCAGCAAAATATTTACCAAGATGAGCGTCCTTTCATAAGTGCACGGAAGGTAATACGTACAGTGCAAGTTTTGTTCTAAATGTCCTATTAGTTCTCTTGGATCTTACAGACTGATGGCATAACGTCCTTCAACACTGAGTACATGTTTGGTAGACAATATTTGATCGTAATGGGCAGTAGAGTCGACAGATTTTATTTTCTTTTTGTTTCTTAACACCGCCAAACTACACTCTAATCCCCCTTAATATACTTTCCATGAAGGTTCTGATGGACATGGGAGGACCCATAAGCAAGGAGCTTCAGCTCGTTTCCTTCCACACAGTCTCCAAAGGTTATTGGGGTGAATGTGGGCAACGGGGCGGATACTTTGAGATGACCAATATTTCTCCAAAGGTTTGCCTTGCTGTAATTTCAAATTATGTTTTTTAAGCATTAAACACTTTAACTCCAAGAGCTATAGTAAGCAAAAGTGAATCAGGAACGAGCAAAGGAAACAAACCTATTTACACGTTAGTATAATGAAGAAAGAGATACAAGGATTTTTACACACATGCCTCTCTATCTTGGCTATACAAACTCTTTACCCCTCAATAAAAAAAAAAAATTAAAAAAAAAATTATTTATTTATGATAGGAATGTTAGGGGGTGACCTATATATGAATTCCTGATAAACCCCTATAAATAAAACAATCTAGGAGAGAAGTGTAGAATATGGTTACGCTCCACAGTCCAACAATAGACTGAAAATCCTTCTGCCAACTTGGGGTACTTGAAGTTCTAAACATTTAGTAAGATAAAACTGCTGAGGAACACAAGCATTAGTGCTGTTTTTATTTGCCAAGGTTAGACAATTTACATCACAAGTCCTTACTGGCAAAATGAGGGCTGCAGTCAGCGAAATGCTTACCCCATGTTTGTTTATAAGGATTTAGATCCCATGGGAATCAAAAATATTGATTTTTTTTTCTTAATTCTGAATCCTATCACCAAATAAATTGTCAACTGTGGTTGCAGACAGTTGAAGAGATATACAAGGTTGCTTCCATTTCACTCAGTCCAAATGTTCCTGGGCAGATCTTCGTAAGTCAGTTATTTAAAAATTTGTGTTTTACACACGGGCTTTCTCTTTTCAGTTTCTAGTACTCTTGCATTGTGGTATTATGTTGATTGAACTGGTTTCGCCCATTTCAGCCATTGCCCCAGAGCTAAATTATAATTCTTTTCCTTTTACAGCTAGGGCTTATGGTCAACCCTCCTAAACCTGGAGACATATCTTACGAAAGATTTGTTAGAGAGAGGTATAACTGCTAATATCCAATCCTTCACAATTCTCTGTGATTTTTTTTTTCTTGAGAAATTTTTCTAACTAGTCAATTTGTTTTTGGCCAAAAATATATTTGTTTCCCGACAAAAAAAATAAATAAATAAGGCCATTCACTGGAGTAGTGCCATTTTATTATATTGTCTTCTAGGCAATCACGCACAGTTGACGAGGAACACTAGAGTGTTTAAATGGATTAAAATCTCGTCAAATTTCCCTTGTTTGACGATAATGCTAGATCATGGATAAAGGAAGGGATAGAGTCAAATGGTCTAGAAATCCTTGTCTACTTTGCCTAGTTTGACAAGAATGCCTAGATTTGTTCGAAATTCGTGCAAAAAGGAGGTGGATTTGGTAAATTTGAAAAGAGAAGGGTATATTTGTCAAAAAAATTTAAAACAATGACATCATTTATAATTCTCAAAGTAGTGGACAAAATTCATTTTTCACTTTAAAAGTGTCGTACGTGGAAAATTTCCTCTTTTTTCTTCTAAATTTTAGAATTTAGAGAAAAGACATTAACCTTCCAATGGAAGTAATTGACTATCTAAGTGTTGCTTGTGTCTTCTGCAAAAACGAACCTATTGACCTCGTTTTCTCATTGTTTATGTGGAGAATAGATATCGAGTCCAGTCGCGTTCTCTCAATGTAATTTCAACACGTGTGAACAGATTGTCAATTAATAATATTTCGAATTTGAATATGGGAGAAACTTTATAAGACGAGACAAATATGTTTGGGTTTCGGCAAAATATATGAGAAAAATTACACGATAATGAATGATCGACTAAGAGCCAAACTTAGGATCAAGATCACACATCAAACATTAAATACCAAAGATTAATTAAAAGGGGGAAAATGTATGGCTTGCAGTTCATATATTTGCATCCCCCAAAATGACAAAAATGAGGGATATTTATAGTGTTATATGTGAAATGGTGTCTATGGGATAGGGGGACTTATTGAGCTATGTCTCTATAATCTGCTGTGTTATGATTGCAAGAATGATGATAAATACTATATCGAGGGGTGTTCGGCCTATTCGTAGGTTTCGAACCTCGCCCTCAGCTTCTTTATCTTTGGAGGGGCTCGTTGTTCGGACCCAATTTTCCTCATGTTGGTTTCGAGGGTGACTTTCTCGTAAGCTAGCGTGAGTACCCCGTTCAATGTGGCTGTGGCAATTGCTTGACCAGAATTGGGAACAACTTCATTACCGCTTGGTTCCATTAGTGGTCCATTAGGTAAGAAGTGGGTCTTCCTCCACGATGTCTCTATGGGGGTTGAAGACCCTAGCTAGCTCTATTTCGGTGATCAATCAAATCAATGATCTCACATCTCATCATTTCCAGCAGAGCGTCGTAGCTAGTGGAGTCCTGATTCTGTGCATTCTACCAAAAGAAGGTGTTCATGTTTAGCCCACCCTGTAGTGTGGATAACGCCTCTCGGTCCATGATTTGCACACATTATGTCATCTCATCGGTAAAGCGGGCTAAAAAACTCTTCAACATCTCCTCAGATTGTTGCCTTATGTCCCAAAGACGTTGGATGGAAGCTTCTCCTTATTGCAAATCGTTTTAGGAATATACTTTTGAACTATAGCAAGTCCTAATACTCCCTAGGGGTATCCTATTGTACCAAATTTTTGTCGCCCCACTTAAAGTCAAATGGAAGGCTCTGTATTTTACAATGAGGGCGCCTCTTAGGCTCATGTATGTTTTGCTATGTTGCTCGGACTCGGCATTTTGGTCGCCATACCCGTGTCGACACGACATGACACGGGTACGGGTACGGAATACGGGTCGGAGACGGCAAAATTCAACCGGACACGGCCAGGGAAGAAGAAGAAGAAGTCACGTAGGGAAGAAGAATAACAAGAAGCCACAAGAAGAAGAAGGAGAAGATGAAACCTGCGGTGCTGCCAGAAATGCAGAGACGTAGGGTAGAAGAAGGAGGGAGTTGGACTGGGCCTATTTTTTGTTTCTAAGTTTTGGGCCTGTTTTTTGTTTCTA